GGCACCTGAGCAGGGAGTGAAAGTAGAGGAGTGAATTGAGTGTGAAAATGAGTGTGGGGGAGTGGGAGTGAGGAGTGGGAGGGCGAGTTAGTGAGTGGGGAAGTGAGTGAGACTACGAGTGGGAGAGCGAGTGTGAGGGATGAGTGGGGAATGGGGCAAGTGAGTGGGTGAGTGGGAGTGGGGGAATGAGGGAGTGGGAGAGAGGGAGTGAGGAGTGAGAATATGAATGGGGAGAGAGAGGAGGGTGTGGGAGGGTGTGAATGGAGGAGAGTAACGAGTGTGAGGCGAGAGGGGGAAGCGCTGGGGAGAGTGTGAGTGGGGGAATGTGTGTAAGTGAGAATATGAGTGGGGATGTGGCAGTGAGGGGTGGACTGCAGCGGGGACGAGGAGTGAGGGCAAGAACGTGAGTGGGGGAACGAGGTAGTGAGTGGGGGATCGAGTAGTGAAGTGAAGCATGGGGGGGGTGAAGCAGGAGAGTGAGTGTGAGTGGGTGAGGGAGTGAGAGGTGAAAGTAAAGGCGTGAGTGGGAGTAGGGGAACGTGTGTGCAGTGGGGGAGCAGAGAGTGAGCGGGGGAGTGAGGAGCGTGAATGGGATGGTGAGTGGGAAGAGGGAAAGGGAGTGAGTGGAATAATGAGGAGTGTGAATAGAGAATGTGAGTGGGGGAGCGAGTGGAGGAGTGTGAACGTGAGTGGGAGAGCATAAATGTGAGTGGGGAACACATGGAGGAGTGTGAGTGGGAGAGACTGGGAGAGAGCGAGCTTAAGTGGGGGAGTAAGAGTGAGGGAGCATGAATGGAGGGGGGGTGTGAGTGTGAGTGGAGGAGTGTAAGTGGAGGAGTGTGAGAGTGAGGGAGTGTGAATGGGTGGGTGAATGGAAGGGGATGAGTGGGAGAGAGTGTGAGGGGGGAGTGAGGGAACTGGAGGTGGGGGGAGTGTAAGTTGGGCAGTGTGAGTAGGGAGTGAGGAAGAAGGTGGGTGTGATCATCAGTGTCTGGGGAAGTGTGAATGAGATAGGGAGGGAACGGGGGTGCAAGTGTGAGAATGTGAGTAGGAGAGTGAGTGTGAGTGCAAGTGCAAAAATATGAGTCAGGGAACATGAATGGAGGAGAGGGAATGTGAGTGGGGCAGTGAGCGTAGGTGGGAATACGAGTGTGAGTGGAGGAGTGGGACGAGTGGGAGAGTGGGAATGCGAGTGGGGCAGTGTGTGAGAGCCAAAGTGGGAGAGTGTGAGCGGAGGAGTGTCACACACACACACACACGGGTCACTCACCAGGAACTTCCGCAGGTCTTTGTAGTTGGTGATGATGCCGTTGTGGATGACGATGAACTCTGGAGACAGAGGAAAGGCCCCGCTCAGCCCCACCCCAGTGCCTCGGCCTGGCAGCGGGTGCCCGCGGCCGCCGGACAGACAGCAGAGACCACAAAGCTTTATTGCGTGGAAAGCCGTACTCGGCAGAACAGAGAGAGGAGTTTCACCTCCTGGTGGGATTCCCCTGCTCTACCCATGGCTGGTAATGGCAGAAGACAGTAATGACGAGGGTGGGACCAGGGACACTGAGACCCTGCAAAGCTTCTGGAGGCACTCAAACCCGTGGCAGTTTCCAGCCTGCTGGAAGCCATTAAACCCCACGCTCCTCCTGCCAGTTTGTTGGTGCTGCTCCCGGGG